GAAAAAAATCACTATATACTGAATAAAAGATACAACCGAATGTTCTGTTGGAACCCCTTCTCTCCCTTGCACAAGTTGGGAAATCCCATATGCCCCGCTTCCCCGAACCCTACCTTTGGTGTAGGAGGTCCTTCTTTCTATGTGTTGCTTATATTTGTTAATGAATAAAAAAAACCTCCTTGGCCTGATAGGGCAGACCTTAGGTAGGCAGGGAAGATGGAACTGAATTCTAGGAGGAAGAAAGCTGAGTCAGAGAGATGCCATGGACCCGCCGCCAGAGATAGACGTGCTGGAACTTGGCTGGTAGGCCACGACCTCATGGTGATACACAGACTAATGGAGATGGGTTAAATTAATATATAAGAGTTAGCCAATAAGAAGTTAGAGCTAATGGATCAAGCAGTGATTTAATTAATACAATTTCTGTGTGGTTATTTCGGGGTTAAGCTAGCTGGACGGCTGGGATGAACAAGCCATTCATCCAGAACAGAACCCTTCCTGTTACATACCTTGCTGAGAAAAATTTGAACACAGGAAGGGCATCCAAGAATCCACCCAGGGATCTAGCTTTTGGCCATATGGCCATACTTGGGCACAGCTCCAGCTCCTGGTTGGTGTGCTGTCACACCTCACCTAAGGTCTAGAAAACCTCACTGCCTTAGCCTGGGTGAGACTTCTCTGGCCCCATTCTTTGGGAACAGTGAACCCACCTGGGAGCAATGCACAATACACCTGCATTTATTTGTTTTTAATCTGGTCTGATCTGGGCTTTTTTGTCAGCAGAAACATATCATCCAGCAAGAAGGAATTCAATTTTAAATATACATGTACTAACCATGAGTGCACCCAATTTCATAAAACAAATACTAATTTATGTAAAGATACATATGAATCCCCACACAACAATAATGGGCAACTCTAGGTTAAATTCTAGGTCACTGGACAGATCATACCAGTAGACAAGTCATATTGACAGAAACTAAACAAGAAGCAGGAGTTCAACTACATCATACATAGCAGACATTTATAGACGATTCCATCCAAATACTACAGAACACACCTTGCTCCCAGCATCCGTGGAACTTTTTCTAAACTAGGCCATGTGTTAGAGCACAAGGCAAGTCTTAACAAACATGAGAAAAATGAAACAATTTCTTGAATTTTATATGACCACAATGAAATAAAACTTGAAATCAACAGCAAGAGAGACCAGAGAACTTTTATAAATACATGGAAATTAAACATGGTACTACTGAATGTTGAATGGGTCATCAAATAACTCAAGAGTAAAATAAAAAGGTTCATGTAATTGAAGATGAAAAGACAACACACTCAAATCTCTGTATAGGTACTTACACTAAAATACAAAACAACCCTCCAACAGAGGTTTCATATAACTTAACAATACATGGTAGGGCCTTAGAAAAACAAGAAGTTAAATCCAAAATAAGTAGATAGAAAAAATAAGATCAGAACAGAAATTATGGAGCTACTAACAACAAAAAACTGATATAAAGAATCAATGAAACAAAGACTTAGCTCTTTAAAAAGATAAACAAAATTGACAAACTCCTAGTCAAACTAATCAAATGACAGAGAGAGAGAGAGAGAGAGAGAGAGAGAGAGAGAGAAACTCAAAGGAAAAGGAAAAGATCACAGCAGATACTAAGGAAGTGCAAAAACTCATTGGGAGAACATAATTTAAAAACTAAACTGGAGAATCTAAAAGATGTGGATGAATTTCTAAACTCATATGGCATACCAAAATTAAACCAAGATGAAATAAACAATTTAAACAGATTTTATAGCAAGCAATGAGATTGGGGCAGTAATAAAATTTAAAAACAAAACAAAACAAAAACCTCTTTAAAAAAAAAAATGTCCAGATGGATTCCCGGCTGAGTTTGAGCAGAACTTTAAAGGACTCAGGCCAAGCTTCTCAAGCTGGTGCATGACGAGGGGGAGGAAAGGGCGCTATCAAACTCTTTTTATGAAGCCTTTATTGTCCTTGTGTAAACAGAGGACAGGACCATACTCCAAGGTATGGCGGGTGGGTAGGCTTTTATTGTACATACAAGGGAGAGTACAGCCATGAGGCAGCTGGAAGTATCCAGAGCAGGGAGAGAAAGTAGTAGGCTGAAAATGGCCAGCAGATTGGATGGGGCCGTGAGAAGAGAGACAGGCAAAGCGAGAGAAGAGGACAAGGAGAATGCGGGTAAAGTAGACCAAGAGAGAGGGACAGGAGAGGAGAGGCAGACGAAGGAGAGCAATGTAGTCATTATGACAGGGTATTTTGGAATGAGAAGCTGGAGAAGTTTAGAATAGGGACAGGGTGAAAAGAGTTGAGAAGAGCCACAGGCTCTGAATGAGCCTGGGGGCCAGCATGGGCCTTAGTACGCTAATAGGCACTGCAGACAGTTGTTTGTCCAGTTTCTTTTGGACTTGACAACCCTTACACCAAACCACACAAAGACACAACAACAATAAAAACAAAAGAAAATTATAGGCCAATCTCCCTGTTAAACTTAGATGTAAAAAAAAAAAAAAATCTCAGTAAAATACTTGCAAATGAGATTAAAGGAAAAATAAAAATAAAAAGGATTGTTCACATGATCCGATTGGTTTCATTCCAGAGAGGCAGAGGTGATTCAACCTACGCAAGTCAATAGATGTAATCCATCACAAACATGGACTCAGAACAGAAATCACATGACATTCTCAATAGATACAGAAAGGGTGTTTGACAAAACCCAATCTCCCTTCATGATAAAAGCTGCAGAGACTAGCAATGGAAGGAGCACATCTCAACACAATTAAGGCTTTATCTGTCAAATCTATAGCCAATGTTGTATTAAATGGGAAAAAATTCGAAGTGTTCTACTAAAGTCAGGAATGAGGAACGGATGCCCACTTTCTACTCTTGCTTAACATTGTGCTTGAAGACTCAGCAATAAGACAAGAGAAGGAAATATAAGCGATACAAATAAAAAAGCAAGAAGTCAAAGTGTCCTTATTTGCAGATAAGAGTCTATATACGAGACCATAGAGACTGCTTCATGAAACTTTCAGAACATATAAACATTTTTAGTAAAGCAAGACCATACAAAATTATCATTCATAAATCAGTGGCCTTCTTACTTACCAATATAAGTGCTGAGAAAGAAGTCATAAAAAGCAATTCCATTACAATCGCTTCAAACAAAAAATATTAAAATAATCCTAACCAAGAAGGAGAAGAACCCCAACAATTAAAACTTTAAAACATTCAAGAAAAAGATTTAAAAAGACACTAGAAGATAGACCTGCTCCCATCCTTGCAAACTAGAAGAATAAATATCATGAGAATGGCTTTGTTGCCATAAAAATCTTCAAATTTAATATATTCCCCCACCAAAATTCCAGTATCATTTTCACAAACAGAAAAAAATCTTAAAATGCACATGGAGGCACAAAGACACACAAACAGCTAAAGAAACTTCGAGTTCAAAGGATTCTGGAGGCCTCAGCACACCTGACTTCATTATACCGCAGAGACAGAGTAACAAAAACAGAGTAGGGAATGCAGATAGAAATCCACACAGCTACTGTTGTCTGCTTTTTCATAAAGATACCAAAAATACACATCGGAGGGAAAAGAGCGTCTTCAACAAACAGCGCTGGGGAAACTGGCTTAGCCACGGGTGGAAGACTGAAACTGGATCCTTATCTCTCGCTGCAAACACCAACTCCCAATGAATCCTAATCCCTAACGTGAGTGAGTCATGAAACGGTTAGAAGGAAAAGTAGGAGAAACATCTGAAGACACAGGCTTGGGCAAGGCCTTTCTGAGGAACTTCAGTCGCTGAGAAAATAATGCCAGCAAATGACACACAGGACCTTATGGAATGACAAAGCTTCTCTACAGCAAAGGAAACAGTTAATTGAACAGACTGCATGAGAGAGTCTTTGTCAGCAAAACAGAGGATTAATATCTAGAATATATATGTGTGTATACATGCATATATATGTGTATATATATATTCTCAATAAGAAATTATATATCACAATAAGTGGACTAACCAAATCAACAATTTTCAAAAAATTAAATACAAATGACCAGTAAACATAGGAAAAAAGTTCAATCTGACTAGCCATCAGTGAAATACAAACTAAATTCTGTCTTACTCTAGCCAGAAAGACAATCATTAAGAAAACAGATAACATCCTTGTAAAATAAAAATAACCAGAATCACCCTTCCTATTTTTTAAAGAAAACAACTAACAAATGCTGGCTGGTATGTGGACAAAGGGAATTCTTGTGCCTTGTTCGTAGGAATGTTAGACTAGTTAAATCAGCCATTATGGGAGTCAGCATGGTGATTCCTCAAAAAGCTAAGCTAGACAAACCCGGGGACTCGGCTGTGTCACTCCTGGCTTGCCCAAAGGACTCAGTCAACACATCCCAGAGTCTCTTGCCCATTGATTTGTGTAGCACTGCTCACAGTCGGTAGTGACGCAGCCAGCCTAGGCCTGCAACAACAGAAGAAGTGTGGCCTGTCTACACAGTGGATTACTTTCAACCATGATGATGTATGTGTGACGGAAAAGTAGAAGTAAAACTACCCAGAGGAACAAAGGGGACTGGAGGGAGGGGGGGTGCGCAAGAGAAAGGCCATGAAAGGACAGTGGCAACATATTGCAGATGCTAGTAAGAAAAGGTTCCTGTGTGACAGTGCATCATTTATAAGAAATAGAAACATAGAAACACTGGCTCCCCTTTGAAAGGTTCAGTGTGTGCCTGCAGCAGATTAGCCGGCCAGCCCACACTGACTAACTGATAAAATGCAAAGCAGAAAAACCATCAAGCCAGGTCCACCTATTTGTTCCCCAGGGCTGTGAAAGTGATTAGTAAAGGCTATCTCAGTGCTTTTCGAGTCAAATTACTTGAGCAAAGGGCAGCCTCTTCTTCAGTCAAAGAGCTGGAGGCGGAGCTTAATGAGGAAGTGGCTTCTTTTCCTCAGTCTTGGTCCCAAACCAGAGGATCCTGTCCCAGGGAGCTCCCGGCCACTGAGCTGTGTCGTGAGAAGCCAGGACCCGGCAGAAGGTTTCCTGTCATTGCGTGTTCAGAGAGAGACACGGGTGTACAAATAGCTACCTGACACCTGACCTGAAGCCAGAGGAAACCGGCTGAGAGCCAGCAGACCAGGTAACTACAGCACGGGACACCAGTTTCTGTCTCTACTCCCTCTGGTGCTCATAGCCAGGTTGCATTGGCCAAAAGAGGCCATCTAATTCAGAACTTTGGGCCCCCTTCACGAATGTTCTGTTAGCCTTGGAACGCAAAGCATTTCATTCCAAGTTAGTTAGTTGACTGGGGTTTCCAGAAAAAGGTAGGATAGATTATGAAGGCTCTCTAGATAGATAGATAGATAGATAGATAGATAGATAGATAGATAGATAGATAGATAGATAGATAGACAGACAGACAGACAGACAGATATAGAGATAGAGATTTTTGGAGATAGTGTCTCTCTGTGTAGTCTTGGTTGTCCTGGAACCTTCTATGTAGACCAGGCTGACCTCAAACTCAGAGATCTGCCTGCCTCTGCCTCCACAGTGCTGGGATTGATGGTGTGAGCCATCACATCCAGCGGAAGGATTCTGTTTTTATTTTTCTTTCTACAGAGGGGTTTGGATGGTGAAGAGTTCATGACTGTGGTCTTTATAACTTACTCTCCTCTCTCGATGTAAATACAAGGTGTTCAGTGGCATCATAGCAGGTCAGAGCCTGCAGAGATGGTGAATCCACCTGGAAGCAGGGTTTTGGGGTGCAGGATGGGACCCCCTGCCACTGAGCCTGGAGACATGAGCACTCTGCAGGAACCTGCATGCTCAGCTGAGTCCCAGCAGACTTCCCAAGGAAACCTCTCTTCTCCCTGAGTCCTCTGCCCCATTTTCCCAGTCAGGGCTTTCATCCTTTAGCTTCTATCGTAAGAAATTAAAACATTTCATCTCATTCTTCATCTTGCCTTCGGAACTGAAAACTGTGTCTTATCCCTGGAGATGACAGAGAGGGCAGAAAGACCAGAGACACACAGGGATCTGAAGAAAGGCAGGAACAAAGTCCACCCAGCAAAGGGACCCAGGATGCTGAAGGCGCAGCTCAGGGTGATGAGGCTCAATGGAGTCGGTGGCTGAGTCTAGGGACCTCCCTGAGAGAAGTGTGTTAGTATGGAGTCACACTCAGGCCTGTGGGTTCTCCCAGTTTCTCGCTTCCAAGCCAAGCAGAGGTGAGGCAAACCAAGCGAGGCTCCAGCTGCAGCTGAAGCCAGGCACTAGGTTGTGGAGGCCTCTCAAGGAATAGTGAAATTTCCCTGCTACTTCCTCTGAGCGCTCCCCCACCTGCCTAGGGAGAGAAGTGAAATCTCTCCACCAACACAGACTAGAGTCCACAGACTGGAAAACCTCGATGTGACTGCCACTCGGCAGGGCCTGGTGGGGGGGAGTGAGAGGGAGGGTGGAGGGGGCTGCAGTCAGGTGCTCCCAAAAGAGCTCTAAGGGAGGATGCTCTCAAGGACACCCTCAGGGAGGGAAAAGAGGCCAAGGAAGCTGCTATATTTGCCTTTGAGAGTGTAGGCTGTAACCAGGAAAACGTTATAGCAGTAGGGTAAGAAACAGGGTGTGTCCCTCAATCCCCAAATTAGCATAAGGCCTCTGAAGAAGTTGGGGTGCCTTTCATTAAGTAGAAAGGTCACTGGGGATCACTGAGAACTGATATCATCAAACATAAAAAGTTCTCTCACTACTTTAAGCTAAGACAAAGTTTTCAGTTTTGTTGGTAGCTCTTCCTTAAGGTTCGGTGTGGAGAATAAACCTGTACCTTTCAAATGTTAAAATCCTTCATTTTGTCTGTTCTTTGAGAACGTCACGTATTATGCAGGGTATTTTGATCATATATACCCACACTGTCTCAGAATGGGATTAACTGGATGCCCAACCACACCTGATCCAAACTGCCTAATTTAAAAGGGAGCCTCCAAAACCCTCCCCCCAGAAGTCTGGGCTCAGTCACACCGGAGCTGCAGACACGCCCACTGCGACTGAAGACCTCACTGTGGCTGTGCTTCCAGGCCGACTCTTTCACTTGCCTTGGTTTCAACCCCAGTGCTTTATCCATTAGGTTTGAGGACGTCTCAGCAGCGTCTTTTATTCATGGTGTTGTCAGATTTAGCAAATGCAAGATACCCAGTTGCATTTGAACTTCAGATAAGCAAGTTGCATTTTAGTTCAATTTGTAATATTTGCAGGCATAGTTATAGCAATATTTATTTGTAATTTATCAAACAAACTGCCCAAATTCATATTCCGCCAGCTGCCTCATGTTTAATCTGTCAGTCTTTTCATTCATTCATTCATTCACTCATTCACTCTTCATGTTTGTTGAGCACACTGTTGGAACTATTCTAGGTGCTGGGAACACTAGGCAAAGCTCCACCCTTCGTATCTATCAATCACTCTTCTTGTTGCTGGGACAAGATACTTGACAGAAACAATGTAAGGAAGGTAGGGATTATTTGGGCTCACACTTAGGGAAGGCCTGGCAGGGACAGTGGCTGTAGCTGTGGTGGCAGGAGCTTCCGGTGGCTGGTCACAAGGTCTCTTGTCAGGAAGCAGAGAGAGGTGACTGCTGGTGTCAGCGCGCTCTCTTCTTCCCTTTCTTCTTCAGTCCAGGACCCCAGCTTGGGATAGTGCCACCCACATTCAAAACGGTGGTCTCCCTCAGTTAAACCTCTCTAAAAGGCCCTCACAGACACGCCCAGAAGTGTGTCCCCGAGATGATTCTCAATCCAGTCAGGTGACAGTGGAGATTCGCTGTCATATTCTTACACTGTAAACGTTGTTGTCGTATTTGCAGGCACAGCACAAACTCTTAGAGATACGGCTCAATGCCATGGGAAGCACCTCTCATATTCAGACCGCCCCCATTGTCTCCCATCAGCGGCATCTTTGTGAGTTCAGACCTGAGGGCCATTCATTGCATCCAAGGAATGTGTTTAAGTGTCTTTTAGTCTGTAATGCTGTGTGTGTGTGAGCTCCATATGGTAAGAAAAATAGCCCATTGCCTCATTCTTTCTTTTTGAAACAGAGTCTTTCTATGTAACCCTGCTTGGCCTCAAGTTTGCAATTCTCCTGTCTCATCCTCCTGTGTAGGTGGGATTATAGGCTTGTGCTACAAATTCATCTGCGTTTACCTTGCAGCACTGACCATATTCTGAATTTAGATCATTACTTCCTCGTGAACATTGGGCTTCAGTCTTCTATACTCCCTGTGAAACTGGTGTTGGAGCTAGAGACTTAGATTAAAATCTTATACATTTTCTTTTGTGTATGTGTGTGAGCTTATGAGTTTATGTGCACCACATATAAACAGGAGCCAGTGGGGCCACTAGAGGGCATCAGATCCCCTGGAACTAGAATTGCAGTTGGTTGGGATGACCAGCCTGTGAGTGCTAGACCCTGAACCCAGGTCCTCTGCAAAAGCAGTAAGTGCTTTTAAGAGCTGAGCCGTCTCTGTAAGATCTGATTTTTTTTAATCACATAATAGTTGTTGGGTTGCTTTTTTTTATCACAAATAATGGCACAGAATGCTCATTTTAGCTTTAGCGATGGGTAATCGGCCATTGAGTCCAGGATATGATATTGATATGATTGATATGATTCAGGTTTTAAGTCATCCTCTGGGGGTGAGACTGGGATACACAAGACACTGCAATGCAAGTGTGGAGGTCAGAAAGCGACCTTGGGAGGTCTCCCCTTTCACCTTGTTTTGAGGCAGGCTCTCATATACTTTCTTCCATGTTGCCTATTCCTGGCTGTTTGACCCATGAGCCTCTGTACTGGCTCATTTTTTATGTCAACTTGACACAAGCTGGAGTCATCAAAGAGGAGGGAGCTTCAATTAAGAAAATGCCTCCATAAGATTGGGCTGTAGGCAAGCCTGTAGGGCATTTTCTTAATGAATGATGGATGAGGGAGCGCACAGCCCACTGTGGGTGGTGCCATCCCCTGGGCTGGTGGTCCTGGAGTCTATGAGAAAGCAGGCTGAGCAGCCCTGAGGAGGCCGCCTGGAAACCGCACTCTTCCATGGCCTCTGCATCAGCTCCTGCCTCCAGGTTCCTGCCTTGTTTGAGCTCCTGTCCTGACTTCCTTTGATGATGAGCTGTGATGTGGAAACGAGAGCTGAAGGAACCCTTTCCTCCTCGGTTTGCTTTGGTTATGGCGTCTCACCAAGCAATGGTAACCCTAGCCAAGACCGCCAGGTTTCAGGGCATTCTCCAATCTCTCTCTCATTCTGTCACCGCATACGGATGAATGTCACTCCGGGCTTTCCATGTGGGGTCTGGGGAATCAAACTCATGTAGTTTGGCTTGTAGAGCTGGTGCTTTTGTGACTAAGCCGTGGTGGCAGGCTCTAAAGATGTACAGTCCTAAGAGATCATTTGACTACTGGGTGGGACCTGGGTTAACCAGAAGGAGAGGATGCCATGGTAAAGAGAACAGAGCATCTGATGTGGTAGGGGGAGTAGAGAAGGGGTGGGTGAGTGGGAGGAGCTAACGACCTGTGGGAAGGCCTGTGTGGGAAAGACTGGACAGGCTGGCTTTATCGGCAGAGAAGGAACAGTGACGAGGAAGCAGCAAGAATCGTGTCCTCCAGACAGCCGTGCGGCTCCTGACAGAGCCCTAGGCCTCAGGCATCCTGAGTGTGCAATTGGAGCAGTTAAGGAAAGACAGAATGCCAGCGCATAGGAACTGGCCCAGAGTTGAAGAACAGAAGGGGAGGAAGGATGCTGGCTAGGGTCCCCTTGTGTGCCGCTCTCCCCGAGTGCTTGATCACACCCAGTTACCAGAGGCTGCTTTGTGGACATGGAAGGAGGTGTTTAGCCAGTGTTGGGTTTTCCAAGTCTGCCCATAGCTCCCCTGGGAAAGCCACATCTCAATCTTCACCTGACTTTTGGCCCCCATTCTGCAGTTCACAGCTGCGTTCCACTGAACTTGTTTAGCTAGGCTCTGGGCCTGGCCATGAAGCTGCTCCTCAGAGGAGCCAGTGTGCCTCTTCTAAATAAAGCAGGGATTCCACCTCAGGAACAGGAAGCACTGCCTGGGGAGGTACTAAAGCCCTCTCCCTCCAAACATCAAAGCCAAGGCAGGGGAGTTAGAGAACATTCTTAGTCTTGACAAGAGGAGGTTGTCTTACTTGTTTGTTGTTTTCTTACCGTGCTGAGAACAGAGAGCCTTGCACACGGTTAGGTGAGCGTTTTTGTCGCTGGGCTGCGTCCTTGACCCATGATCCTTGGTCTGGTGCGGGAGAATTGTCTGTATTCTGTCAATCATGTATTTTAATAAACCGCTGATTGGCCAGGCAGGAAGTATAGGCGGGTCAACCAGACAGAAAGTAGAGACAGGGCTATGAGAATAAGAGAAGGCTAGGGAAGAGGAAGCTCCCTCCACCATTCCTGCCCAGATCAATGAAGAAGCAACATGTGATCTGACAGCTGAAAAAGGTACCAAGCCATATGGCTAAAATATATCAGAATAATTGGGTTAATATAAGTCATAATAGCTAATAAGAAGCCTGAGCTAATGGGCCAATCAGTTTATAACCTAATGTAGACTCTGTGATTTTCTTTGGGATTTGTTGGCTGCGGGAGCCGGGCAGGACGAAAAGCAGGCCTGCCCACAGCTCCTCACTACATTGGTCTATATGGAAAACAAGGGCCAAAGGAAGAGACTGAGTTGCCCAATGATGATGTGAGTTTGAAGCTGTCAGACCATGACCATGAGTCCCACAACAGAGTCCAGTCTGTCTGTACCATGCCCTGCCTCTTTAGTCCCTGTCTGCAGGTGCTCTCCCTGCATGGATCACGTCCTGCTTCTTCGGTCCCTGTCTGCAGGTGCTCTCCCGTCTGTACCACGTCCCACTGTTTTAATCTCTGTCTGCAATGCTACCCAATTCCGTTGTCGATTGGATCTCGCAGAAAGAAATGAAGGGACATGCCAGCAGATTCCATTAAGAACACTATTGTTTGTTTATGATCACAGAATCTTCAGCTTTCAGGGTAAAAACCCAACAGGACCAGTGAGAGGACACATGGCCAAGAGCTCCACCAAGGACAGAGGCAGGGAAAGTTACACAATAATGTTTTGGTCAGCAATGGCCTAATACAAGAGAGAAGGATCATCCCTTGAGATTATATCACCAAGTGATGTGGTAACCCTCAGCTTATATCAGTACACACTGTTTCCACAATGTCGCCTAATGACACATTTTCAAACCGTGTCCTTGCCATTGTTTGATGCACACGTGACAGTAGAAGGTAGAATAGTAGCTGTCTCTGCATTCATAATCTTTTTGCCTCGGAATCCTGAGTGTTGAGCACAAGCCACCATGCTTGGCCCAGCTACCACTTTATAGACCTGCGTACATCCATATGTTTATAGTTACACATATATTATTTATTATTGTTAGATGTGTACAATGTGTGTGTGTGTGCTACACATGCCACGGGGCATAAGTGGAGGTCAGAGGACCACCATATGGAGTCAGTTCTTTCTCCACCATGTGGGTTCTGGGATCAAGCTAAGGTTGTGAGGCTTGTGCATCAAGCACTCGACTTACTGAGCCATCTTACCATCCCCATTGTTATCACTTTTGAGCCAAGACATCCCATGCCTTGTCTTCTACATTCACAATACCCACCCCGCAATGGCTGTAATAATTTCTAGTCTATCTACAGAGAGTTCAGGAGCAGAGACATATTACAGTCTTCCACAGGGCTCAAAACTAGTCATTGGTGTGGGCAAGATTTGACCTGCAGACCACCAGACATGAAGCACGAGATGTTTGATGATGCACCCATGGCTGAACTTTGAATGAGATAGGAAGTGGAAGGATCAGTCTTTCTGGCAGCTGGGATGGAAAGGGAAATGTAGCCCTTAGTTACAGTGAAGCCAAGGCAAAGGTATGCTAGCCAGATCCCAGAGGGGTAACTCTGGCTGCATCAGTGAGTGAAAGGGAGCAGAGGTCATTCTTTGTTACCTGGATGGAAATCAGGGTGATCGAGTCGCCCCACCCATTTCCAGGCTTGGGGCGTTCTTTCTAAATCATGTATGTGATCATGTCCTCTCCCACCTGAACACAGACAAACTCTCCACTATGTCCACTGGTATCTTTCATGTTGTAAAATAAATAAATACAGCAGCTCTTACCCGGTGACAGATTAACTAGCGAGCCAATCACAGGAAACAAACCACGCAAGCAGAGGCAGAAGATACCCCACAAAGGGAGAGAGGCACATAATTTATTTCTACCTCCTGAGTTGTCCCCTCCCATAAGAACTTGGCATGTTTAGGAGACTTGGGCTCCTTTGAAAGGATCCATAGAAGAAGCAGAGACCTCTCAACCTGGTCTAAGGCCACCAAAGTCTGGTCCCAGCTGACTGTTTACTTATTTTCTCTGAATGATTCATACTTAGTGAGCTTAGGGCCAGCCTGGGCTACATGGTACAAACCCTGGCCATCAGATGCTTCAAACATGTACCCACAAGTCTTTTCTCTGCCCACACGGTTTCAAAGTTGAGTGTATGTATATCCCCAGTCTGTCTTTCGATTGCCTTCACTCGCTCCTCCGGTTGAAGCTGGCTTGTCCCTGCCTCCACATACCCAGCTGACTTCACCTTATTAGAGCTCTTATTCCACTGTTACCTGGAGCTATCTGTGCTCTGACTCTTCGTTCCCAGTAACGTGGTGGCTTTTCTGACACTGGTTACTCCTGGTTATCCTAGCAATGTGGGATCAGAACCAAAGGATGGTTGTTTGTTTGTTTGTTTGTTTGATTGATTTTTGGTTCTTCCCCCACGCTTTCTCTGAACCTGCAAGGTAAACTCCCCCACACGGAGAACACACACCACGTGCCGTTTGTCATTCCAGACCTGACATGTGCAGCTCCAGTGAGTGTGACCTGGAAGACATCCCCCTGGAGGATGATGACCCAAACAGCATCGAGTCCAAAATCCTGGCCTTCTATGCTAGACACCATGTCTTCAAAAGTCCCCCAGCTGTTTTCTCGCCCAAGCCCTCCAGAACAAGAAGTTTGTCCCAGAAAGCACTGTTATCTTGGTCAACTGATTCATGGACACAGGGGTCAGCGCCTTGCAGAGGCTCCACCTCCAGTGAAAAGTTCATAAACTTTGGCAAGAAGAAATCTTCTTGGAGAACATTCTTCAGAGCGGCGGAGAAGGAAGAAGGCCCACCGAGCTCCCCAAAGGAGGTCCGTACTCAGGGTGTTCAGGGCCCCTTCACAGTAGAGCGTCAGAGCGGCTTCCACAGTCAACACTGGGCCAGGTCTCTTTCCAGTGTGGAGCAGCGCCTGGAGAGTGAAGGTAGGCTCGTGAAGGGCTCTCTCTCACACCCATCTCCTGCGCGCGTGCTGAGTGGTCGGCCTCTTCCGACCTACTGAAGACGGCCCTGGGCTTTCCATGTTGTTAATCTCCATAATAACCACCCACTTGTCCCAAGAAAGGAAGAAGGTGGGAGTGAATGGTGGCTGCAGAGGTTTTCCGGCTCCGTGACCATAAATAAGCTGGCTTCAAGAGGGGAGCACAAAGGAAGGCATCTTAGCCAGGCACCTTCTCTTAGGCCAGATGACCCCTGGAGACCCTGGGAACTGTGTTCACACCTGTATATTAGGTGGATCACACCTGGGAACTGTGTTCTCACCTGTATATTGGGTAGATTACACCTGGGAACTGTGTTCTCACCTGTATATCGGGTAGATCACACATGGGAACTGTGTTTACACCTGTATATCAGGGGGATCACACCTGGGAACTGTGTTCACACCTGTATATCAGGGAGATCACACCCTTCCCTACTTCTTATGGTTGCTGGAAAGATCAAGTAGAAGAGTCAGTGATTCAAGAATTCAGGAGATGGAGGCAGGAGTTTCAGAGGTTCATGGCCAGCCTTGGCTATATAGTGAGTTGGAAGCTAGCCTGGGCTACATGAGACCCTATCTCAGAAAACAAACAAACAAAACCAAATGAAAGAGGGAGAAAGAGAAGGGAAAAGAAGGGGAAGAGAGTCAGGCGGTGGTGGCGCACACCTTTAATCCCAGTAGAGGCAGGTGGATCTCTGTGAGTTCGAGGTCATCCTGGTCTTCAAGAGTTAGTTCCAGGGCAGGCTTCAAAGCTACAGAGAAACCCTGTCTCGAAGAGAGAGAGAGAGAGAGAGAGAGAAAGAGAGAGAGAGAGAGAGAGAGAGAGAGGAGAAAGGAAGAGGGAAGGGGCCTGAAAGGAAGAACAAGGATGAGGAAGGAAAGGGGGAGGGAGGGAGGGAAGACAGGCAAATAGACAGAAGCAAATAGTTTTTCGGTTGGGCATGACGCTCATACCTGTTGTCATCAGGTCTCAGGAGGGAAAGAATGGCCAGTTCCAGGCCATCCTGGGCTACATAGCAAGTTGGAAGCCAGCTTACTGCAACACTGTCTTGAAAGATAAAAACAAAATACTTTTCAGAATGTAAACCACCAGGCTGGAGAGGTGGCTCAAAGGTTAAGAGCACTGGCTGCTCTTCCAGAGATCCTAAGTTCAATTTCTAGTACCCACGTGGTGGCTCACAGAAGTTATATAGTCCCATAGGATCTGATGCCCTCTTCTGGTGTGTAGTTGGACATGCAGACAAAACACCAATATACATAAAATACATAAATTAAATCTTTTTTAAAAAGAAAGGCTTTCTGAAAAGAAAAAATGTGAACCACCCTTTTAAAAAAAATTGATAAAGGGGCTGGAGAAATGGCTCCATGGTTAAGAGCCCTGACTCCTCTACCAGAGGACTGGAGTTCAATTCCCAGCATGCACATGACAGCTCACAGCTGTCTGCAATTCCATTTCCAAGGCATCTGATACACCGATACACCAATGCATATAAAATAAAAATAAAATTGATTCTTTTAAAAAACTGATAGAGTTTTCCCTTGTTAGGAAAAAAAAATCAATTGTATGGAACAAGACACTATCACTGAGGGTTTACCTCCACCACAGACCTCAGCAGAAACACGGTTCATCTTCCTACCCACTCCCACCTCCACAGTACCCCTTCCTGCCAGGCCTGTCCATAATTAGTCAACAGATGGCAGTAACGGCTCAGTTTTAAAGGGTTGCTAGCCTCCTAAGTTTTTGGAGTAAGTTCCACGTAAGGAAGTTTCATACCATTCTGTGACCAAGGGAACTTCATTGAAGCCATGAGGACCCAGGGTCCAGAGGATGTGCAGAACTCAAGGGGCAGAGAGAATTTCTGGGGCGTTGCTGAAGGAGACACAGCCTGGACCATGTCTCTTCCCAGCTTTGTTTAACTCTCTGAGCCAATCGAAGCATCTACTCCCTGAAAGCCAGGGTGGCTGAGGCTGCAGCCGTGCCAAGAGAGAAGGGCTGTCCATTGTCTTCCTCTGTGCCTCGTCCTTCCCAACACGGCGCTGGGAGCCCAGAGGCCCCAGGGACCTGACTTTGTGGGTCAGTGTGGTCTGCATAGGGAGACAGGAAGTTTCTGCCATCTTCAGCCCCATTTCCTGGAGGAAATGACACAGCAGAAGTATCACTTGGCTTCCCCCTACATTTTCCAAAGAAACTGCTCACATTATTAGGGGAATAAGTGAAGGAAAACAGCTTTCGGGTGAGATTAAGAATAAAAGATAATGGGGGCTGGAGATACAGCTCAGTGGTTAAGAGCACTGACTGCTCTTCCAGAGGACCAGGGTTCAATTCCCAGCACCCACATGGCAGCTCACAACTATCTGAAGATCCAGTTGCAGGGGATCTGACACATTCACACCAATGCACATAAAATAAAGTTAAATAAAAAACCATAAAAAAGAATAAAGGATAAAACTAAAACAGAGAGTGGGTTTATCGGCCAAATTGTGCTCTGAATAGCCATAAAATACTATGCACATACCAGAGAGCATAGTTTTATGCATGTTTAGACATCGCATCACCAATCTAAGCAGGAAGAAAAGAGATAGACACAGGTGGCTTTCTAGATTATTCAGCTCTCTCTATGTATATATTTGCGTATTTATTTACTTATTTGAGACAGGACCTCGCTCTGTAGCCCAGACTGACCCCAACTGCTTGACCTATTTCCCATCATTGAGTCTCAAGAACGAACAGTCTTCTCCAAACACAGTGTGATTTGTCTTAGCTGCTTCATTCGCTACCAAACACAGCCACCTGTGAAAAACCAGTGACAGACTTGCTGCCCAACAAGTCAACCGTGTACCTACTTGGTCCATCAAGCAGACACAAGCTGATTCGTATCTGATTAGCAGTTACAGTCAGGGAGTCTGCGCCATGTCACCCACCCGGCCCTGTGCGGAAACACACACTATGTCACTTCCCAGATGCCAAGGTCATGAAGGATGAGTTGTACTTGGTGCACTTGTTCTGAGATCTAGTCTGACTTTGTAGCCCAGGCTGGTCTGGAACCCATGCCTGCAATCCTGGCATCCTAAGTGCTGAGGTTACAGATGTGGAGCACCACATCTGGCTGCGTCTATGCAACCTTGTTTACCTATAAGTGTAACCTGAATGCTTTCTATTATACATAAAGGGGGAAGTTGTGGCCATAAGAGCAAGGAGTATCAAGTTATTGAACACTCTCCTATGCCCTGAGAGGCCACCCCTCTGAGGTATAAAGGGTGTCCCCAAACATAAATCTAAAAGAATAAAAATGAAAACAGCCTGATCATTCTGTCAAGTAGTGAGTCATCCCCTTGGTGCTCTTTGGCAAGGGGAAAAGATGGGGGTGTGGAAGTGTAGCTGTATACTGCCCCCTCATCCCAGCCCCATTGGGGAATTGCTGTTCCCTTCTGAAGAATGCCCCACCTCAAACACAAACTCTTGGACACAGTTCTCTCACGCTAGGCTGACCTCTTCATCCCAAGCATCGGGACAGTCCACACAGCAGCCTCAGTTCTGGGGATACCCTCTGAGCAGTTCTTTCTTGTTTCAGCTGTGGACCCCAAAGTTGCTTGTATCGCTAACCGTGTGGCTGAAATCGTGTACTCCTGGCCGCCTCCAGAAGATTACCACAATCAGGGAGGTGGCTTCAAGTTCAAAGAGAGTGCTCCAGAGCGTCTGTACCTCCAAACTCAAGGTGCTCAGTCTAGAACTTGCGATTCAAAGAAAGGTAAGTCTTCCTTGTTGCATGTGTTGGGTTGAGTCTGTGCCGGATACAAGTGTATGGGCATGTGTGTGTGTATACAGCTCAGGCCTCTGTACACTGGGAATCTCAGCCTGCTTTGCAGCAACATGATGGAGACCGTGAGCTCTAGCTGAAGGCATCAGCCCATGGCACAGAGATGCCCTGAGCCTGTTGAGTCAGAAGAAACGTCTCCTGTGGAGGGAGAGGAGGAGATGTCGGGTCGAATCATGTTATAACGGTTGTGCATAGAGTCGTTACATCACCCAACCCAGGCCTCGTGGGAAACACCCAGGCTGTCAGACATGCAGTTGCGGTAGTTATTTTTCTTGCCATCGTGAGAAAGCTGCCTACAAGAAGCAATTGATCGGAGAAAATATTTATTTTGGCTTACGATTTCAGAAGGTTCCATCCATGATTGCTTAACCACATGCATTTAGGCAGGGTACAGCAGGGGGCAGTTGTTCATTCTGCATTCAACCAGGAGGCAAAGAAAGCAAGATGAGGCCAGTCACAGATCTGCCCTCAGTGTCCTAGTGCCTCCAGTTAGGCGCTGCCTCCTAAGATCTCCACAACCTCCCAAACAGTACCAACCGTGAAGGACCAGCATTCAAAACATGAGCCTGTGGGGGACGATTCTTATTTGATCTAGCAACATCAGGTCTGGCTCAGGAGGTGTTGAAAAAGTGAGAATTAGGGACCAGATTAGCTCAGTCACTGCCGCACAATAGTAGTAGCTGGGACCACTACAGATTCTAGGAGCTGTGGTGGGAACCCTGGGCCAAGAGAAAAGAATAGAAAGGAGAAGGTTTTCCTCTCAGCTCTCTCTCCCCAACCTCTAGGAGAGTGTATAAGGATGATAACAAAGCAGTTCCTGGGCCTATAGCATCGTGAAGGACAATGCAAAAGCCCACAAAGGCATCCGTGTGTCTCAGATCCCGAAACAGGGCTGGGGCTTTATCCACTGTCTGCTGCACATCTGAAACTAAACACTGCCACAGGGCTCTGAGCGAGGAGCCATCCATGCATGCCAGAAAGAAAGCGCTAGGGCTTTGTGGCCCTCCCAAGTGTGCCTGGGAGGTGGAAAGTGATATCCTCAGACAAGCTAAAGCCAAGGCACCCCCTCCCCTCCCCTGCATGCGGGAGGAATCCAGGACTCCGGCACAGCATCTTTCCAGGAGAGATGGACGCAGAGACCACGCCCAGAGCTGTGGAGATTTATGCCTGTTTGCTCCCAGGCATTGTGAGTCCCAGGTTAGCCACTCTCCCCGCTCCCCTCCTTTCTGCACCTTCCTGGGCTTTGCTCCATTAATTCCCCGGCCTCCCTCGTCGCTAGCCAAGATAAACACGTGGGTCCCACATTGCTTCGGAGACTGGGCTGTAAGTCAGAAACTCGATTCCCTGGGTAACTGACATTTCTCTGTTTGGATTCTGTGCTGCAGTGGTGATCGTTTTCACCGTTATGTTTACTAAGTAGCAAGTTGTGAGAAAAGCCATCATAGCCCATGCCAACGATAGCCTTGCTTTGTCCAACTGCCGTTTCATCCTGGAGAACTCAGGAATTTGTTCATTTCGTTCCCATGTACCCCACCTTATTGTCGAGACATGGAATACGGGGTATAAACTTTAATCACATAAAAATCAACCAAGTTTTTTAAAATGTAAAAAAAAAATACATAGGAAAATAAAAAGGGCTAAAGAATGAGATTGGTCCCCAAATGTAGGCCAGGAAAATGTCACTTCACATTTGGGCTGTAAATTTGGCTCCTTGCTTCTGACAAAGGTAGAAATATGATCAGACATAGGATTTATGGGGCTGGGAAGTTGGCTCAGCCGGTAAGGGGTTCTCTGTGCTCAGAGCCTGAGTTCAGATCCCCAGCTCCCATACGGAGCTGTGCAGGCGGCGCAGGAAAGGGAATCTCTGGAGCTGTCTGGCAGTCAGTCCAGCTGAGCTCGGGTTCAGTAAGAGCTCCTGTCTCAAAACTGATCAAGGAAGACATCCAGTATTGACACTTGGTCCCCATGTGCACGTGGGCTTACACACACACATACACACACACGCATACACACACATACACACACATACACACACATACACATACACACACACATACACACACA